CATTTTCAAGTCCAAATTATAGCAACAACAAAGAAGTCTGGATCTTTTTTACAACCCGAGCACTATTTTGTGTTTGACTCATATTTGGAGTTCTTGAAATTCAAATGACCTTCATTTTTTTTTTCTAGAAAGTTTAGATAATTTCCTACAACTTTCATGTTTTCAAGCGGTTCCAATTCTTACATTATCAATAACGTTCTAGGCAGACAAGAAAAGATAAAAATTATTACCAAGTCAAGAGTTGGCCACCCACTCATCAATTAGTCATCAAATCAATAGTTTCCAATTTTGGCCTATAAAAGGAGACATTTGTCATGCATTTAGGCATCTTGGTCTGTAGATCAAAATTAGGGGTTTGCTTTCTCTCTTTGTATTTTTTTAATGTTTGAGTTTTATTTTTATTAATATCTTGTTTATGTCTTTCACTTCCTTTCCTTTACTTAGTTAGCTTTTATCTTATTTATGTTTTTATCTTGTTTATCTATGCTTCTCTCTTTCATCATGTTTAACTAAGTTTATTATGTCAAGGTAAAAAGGTTACACTAAAGGTGTAAGAATAAGTATAGTGTAAACTTAACATAGACTTTAATGTTTGATAATAACATGTTTTATATTTGTTATCTTATTCACTCTTTAATACTTTGCTTGTTAAATGACTAATCTAGATTTATGTTGTATAACATTTGGTACAACAAATATTTAGTACTTTTATAGCCCATATTGGATGGTATAACCAATAATTGAGCTATGAAAGGAACTTAATTTGTTGTTAACATAAGTTATAATCATGAATGCCCGATGAGATTTATAAGTATTAGTGTCGTGCATGGAAATTCGCATGGCATCGATTGATGATTTTTTTTATTACTTGTGTTTTGCTTGGTTCTTTGGAGTCGCCATCTAGTATTATAGTCACTAGGAACCTATGGTTTGTAAGAGTTTGAGTAAGGGATTGGTTGTGCAAGGAGAAGACGCATCACCCCCTGTGCACCCTACCTAAGGTAAGCTGCATTATTATTTGATTGTTTTTCTATGTCGAATTTCTATTCGTTGGTCTTTTCTAAGGTTCAAGGCAGATCACCTTTCATGAAGGAGTCTCTACCTTATTGGGTAAATTCTATCCATTATTTACACCTTATATCTTTAATACCCGAGAGTGTACTTTATCGTGTAATTTTACACCTCACAAATATTAAAATCTACATCTGAATCCTAAAAAAAAAGGTTGAAAAAAAAGAGGTTTTTGATATTTTGGCCAACCTTAATGGATAATCATAAACTAATTATGATATCTATTTTTTAGATTTTTAAAACGTGAGAAAGATGTAATTTTTTTCTTGATTTTGAAAAAAGACATGAAAAATTCTTTAGAACTTGGTCGTATGCAATAAAATATATTTTTTCTTTTTTTTCCCTTTTTTTTTAATATTTCGAAGAAAACCGGGTATTTTAATATCGGACTTGTAACTTACAATATAAGTATACAACCCAATATTAAGCAAACTTGATAGAAAAATATTTAAGAAAATCACAAATTTTTTAAAATGATCAATTTTTTTTTTTTGAAATTTCTTTTCGAGCTGGGCTAAAACTAATTCGGGCCAAACAGATGACTAATTAATTAGCCACTGCATGCAAAAATGAATTGTTCATGCAACGGCTATGAAGAACGAAGAAAAAAAAAGGTAGAGTAGGGAGGAGAGAATTATCGGGCATGGAGAGAGTTGGCGGGCTGGCTGGTGGTGCGCGGTGTGACTGGAGGTGTTCATGCAACGGCTATGAAGAACGAAGAAAAAAAAAGGTGGAGTAGGGAGGAGAGAATTATCGGGCATGGAGAGAGTTGGCGGGCTGGCTGGTGGTGCGCGGTGTGACTGGAGGTAACGAGGGCGGCGGCGTGCACTGGTCCCTGCTAGAAGAAGAATGAAACGGGTCCTATAAAGGAGAAGGAAAGCTCACGGCTAGAGCTGTTGATGTAGTTGAGGAGGGAGCTGCTACCCGAGTTGCTGCTAGTAAGAGTGGAAGCTGCTGGAAAGGGTGGTTGCTACTGCTGCTGTTGAGGTTGTGGTGGTGAAGAGAAAAAAAAGTTTTGTAGAGAAGAGAGGGAGAGAGAGAGAGAGAGAGAGGTGTTGCAAGCTTTGGTGAGATTACTGGGTGATGGATGAGATGTAGTGTTTCGTAGGAAGGACGGTGTCGAGATTAGTGGTGGCGGTTGGAGGCTACGACGAAGAGAAAAAGGAAAGAGAGGAGGCGATTGCAGGAAATTCAACAGGGGAGGGGCTGATTTTCAACCAACTTTGAGTTTGATTTTCTCCTCCCTTAGGTCATCAATAGAGCCTCTATCTATAGAAGATGGATATCGCGTAATCCTGTTCCCTTTTCTTCTTCATCATCCTTCTCATTTGACATAAACTCCTCTATATTGGTTGTGTTAAGTAGAGTTCAATCCAAATATGAAGCCCTATTAAAAATTCCTTGTAATTGAATTCCATGTTTGATGTATCTTTTTTCTTGAATTCCATGTTTGATGTATCCTTTTTCTTTCATAGCTTTAGATTGTGTTTATATGATTGCATTGTATCATTGAATCTATCTTGATTTTCTTATTGAATCAAGCCAACAAGTCAACTTTTTTCAATCAAAACTTTTGTGGTTTCAATATTTTTTTATATCGAGATCATTAAGAGAACTTTAAAAGATTATGCCAAAAATAAAGTTGATGATTAAAGAAGTAGCTAAAAATAATTTTTTAAATCATCTCCTCTATAATTTGAAACATCATTTGAAATAATCTTAATATTACATTGAGTTAATGGTAAATAATAAGAGTAAATTATTTTTAGTTAAATCCTATAATTTTAGTGACATAATTATTTTATATTCCAATATTTTCATATTTATTTGTAATCTAATTATTTTATTGGTTTTTATTCTTTTCTAAAAACATTATTAATCTCTTATCAAATATTTGTAATTTTGAACCATGTGGATTTTTTTTAACAAGCATATGTTTGGCCATCTAACCTAATCTAATAACTATCCACATTTATTATAATTCAAACAAAAACAATTAATTTCTCATGTTTTTTTTTTTAAATTGAATTCTAACATTTTTTATGTTGGTTTTAAAACATCACAACAAAAAGATAATGATAACTCTATCCTCAACTATTTTTTAATTAATTATTTCATTTATAATTTTATAGTAACATAAATATGACAATAACAACCTTAAAATATAAATTGTTATTGCTAAATATCAAATGAACCAAACTAATTTTATATTAATGAACATATTAGTTAGCAACCAAATGAGAAGTTTTATTTTAATGATATTTTTATATTTTAAATGAAATAAATAATATTTTATCTTTAAATTATACTTCTCAAGTGTTCTGTATTTTTTTGGACTTACTAGAATTTGACATGTATCTTCAAAATTGAATAACTTTTCACTATCAAAGTTAAATAATAAAAGAATAAAATACTTATCGTAGACTTATTTTAATTGCGGCAACACAAGTATCTTATTCTTTGTTTTTGTTTTTGTTTTTAATGGATAGGATCAAACGACTAGGCTACGACTAAAATAGTACTCGAACGACGTCGTAGATCGTCAACCAACACGAGGTATCTTGTAGTCGCAAAGAGGAGATGAATTGGTGAAGGAAATCAACTGTTAATGGAATTACCGGAATTACCAGAATGTCCGGTGTGTCTATCAACCTACGACGGCGAGGACACTATTCCAAGAGTACTCGCATGTGGGCATACATCCTGCGAGTCATGCCTTAAAAATATCCCCCAGAAATACCCTCTAACCATTCGCTGTCCTGCATGTACACAACTTGTCAAGTACCCATCACAGCAAGGCCCTTCTTCTCTTCCTAAAAACATTGATCTCCTTAGGCTGGTTCAGCAGCTAAAAGATCATAATCCCCAGAAATCCATCAACAAATCCCAAATTGACAAACCAGTCCTTGCTCAAGACTTTGACTTCTTTGTGCCTCCTTTATGGTCTGATGAGTTTTATACTTCATGGAAGAACTGGGTTCTTGACAGAGATGATGTTTTTGTTGAGGATAAAGAGAGAGGATATGGATTGTTAAAGGAGGGGAATAAAAAGGTGAAGGTGAGGCTTTTTAAGGTTGGTAATGATGGGGGTTTGTTGAGTGGTAAAGTGAAAGGATGTGTTTTTAATTTGAGTTATGTTGCAAAGGTTATGAATTTTTTGAATGGGATGAAGGAGGAGAAGAGAGATGAATTGGGTTTTATTTTGAGGATTTGTGCTAAACGGGGAAAAATCTGTAAGGTTTGTGGTTTGTGGTGTGATTTAGAAGATGGGGTTTTGTATTTTGTGTGTGAGAGACTTAATGGGAATGTTTTGGATGTGTTGGGTGATTTTGAGAATGGTTTGATAAAAGATGGTTTATCTAGTTTTGCAATGATTGGAATGGAAATGTATGAAGCAGTGATTGGATTGCACTTGGAAGGGCTAATTGTGGGAAGTTTAGGTGTTTCTTGCTTTGAATTGGATGATTTTGGACATGCGAGTCTAAGTTTGAGTGAGGTTTTGGTGATGGGAAGGGCAGTTCATGAGGGGCTTATGGAACTTGGCTCTGGTGGGAGAAGTTTAAGTGTTAAAAAATTGGGGAGATTGGTCGGTGAGATTTTGAAAAAGGAGGTTTTTGTGAGCCCAGAGGTTTTGTTTGGGATATTGAAGAGAGAGGGTATGGAGGTAGAATGTGGTAGCATTAGATATCCAATTGGCCTTGGCTCTGATGTTTGGACATTAGCTTGTACTGTCCTTAGAATGCTTATCGGGAAAGAATTCTTTGAGGAGCTAGCTGATCATGTAGATTCTATCATTTCAAAAAGAAGTGAAGACAATAATTTGGACTGTTCGGGTCTTTACACTGGTTTGATGGAGAAAGTAAGCTCTTTGTTGGAAAGTAAAACCGGTGAAGAATTGAAACCAATGCACCAGATGCTATGCAGGTCTTTGAGTTTTGATCCAGGGAATCGTCCACGTGCTATTGATACGTGGAAGTGTATTAGGGACTTATTTATTAGACATCAGCATGATACTTCTGTTCTCCAATTGGGTGAGGCTATCCATGAGGAGAATAAGGAGAATTTGCGAGTTCTTGGAGAACTATGTTGGGTGCCCATAAAAAAATCAACTCATAAAAAATCCGAATCAGCAGGAAAAAACAGTGGAGAAAATCAAGATCAAAGCGAGGACGTGAGAAATGATAAAGATATCGCTGAGGCTCTCGTGGAGGGGAAGGTCAAGTTCAAAGAAATGCAGGGCCATCTTGATTGTGTTACAGGATTTGCCATTGGAGGTATGAAATTTTACTTGATGCTTTTAGATTGCAAAATTATGTTATTCATTTAGTTACTTTCCACTGAAAAGAACTTGTTAAACTTGGGAGTCAGCATCTTATAGATGCTCATTCAAATTTTCAAGCATCAGTTCCCAATCAGGCTATCCGGTGACTTTATCATCATTTCAGAGATCAAAGTCATGGAAATAGCTCCTGCAGTCCATGCCATGCTGTGACTTTCCAAAATGTGGTGACAAAACTGCAGTAATTAATATAAGGCTCTCTTCGTTGCTGGTTATGTTGCAGCAGGATTTTTGCTGTCAGTATATCGGTTTTGACCGGTGGAAAATCCAAGCTGAAAGCTTGCTTCAGTTTCTAGATCACCACTCAACTTTTGTTAGATGACACTTGTTGGGACTGGGGAGGGAGCCTTTGAGGCATGTGCTCTGTTGTCATATTAATGATACTGAGATTCTGACCAAGGAAGATACCCTTATATTGGGTTGTATGAAGTTTCATCAGCATGATTTGAACCTTAAATTGCAATATGGTCTCAAGTTTCATAACACTGTTTATCCTTATTTTGACTTTAGTTTCAAAGTGGATGAAAAATTATTCTACCCCAGAGAGTGATGGAAAGACGAGAATATGATTGATCAACATACCCTCTTTCATTTGACAGTACTCTTTCTCTTGCAGGAGGATTTCTGTTTAGCTCCTCATTTGATAAAACAGTCCAGGTCTGGTCCTTGCAGGTATGCGCTATAAAGGCGACATGTGTTCAGTTTTTCTTTTTTTTTTTCAATTTCTTCATCAGTGAGCTTATTGGCTGAAAATGTTCCATGCAGGACTTCTCTCATAAGCACACATTTAAGGGCCATGAACATAAAGTTATGGCTGTAATTTATGTTGATGAAGAACTACCATTATGCATTAGTGGGGATGGTGGAGGTGGCATATTTCACTGGAGCATCAGTGTTCCTATGGGGAAAGAACCATTGAAGAAATGGTATGAGCAAAAAGATTGGCGTTATAGTGGAATTCATGCCTTGACCACTGCAGGGAATGGATATCTCTATACTGGTAGTGGAGATAGGTCAGTTAAGGCTTGGTCATTGCAGGTAAAGCTTGCATTTACCATCTACTACATTTTATATGCTACATGGATGTACAAGACCTTAAAATTTTTGTTCCTTTCCTGATTTCATTAGGATGGCACCCTGTCATGCATTATGAATGGTCATAAATCAGTAGTTTCCACGTTAGCAGCACGTGATGGGATTCTTTATAGTGGGAGTTGGGATGGAACCATCCGTCTGTGGAGTCTAACTGATCATAGTCCTTTGACAGTGTTGGGAAATGACTTGCCAGGAACTGCAACATCTGTCTTGTCTCTCATTGCAAACCAGAATATTCTTGTTGCAGCCCATGAAAATGGACAGATAAAGGTTTTATGTGCTCTATTTTTTTGTACATATTTGTTTATCTCCATACTGCAATTTTAGATACTAAACAAAATTTAAGGTTAAAGAGAAGAAATAAAATCACACACCATTAAAATAGGTTGTGTTTGAAGACTTGCTACATGAATGATGAAAGAACATGTCATAACTTCCACATGCACAGATCCCACCCCAAACCCCCCCCCTCGTTCCACAGGGAAAATAATTTGTTTTATCAACTGTTGAGGCTGATTGGGATTGCTTTTAGCTCTCCATTTTAGGAAAGGATTCCCTGTGCATTTGCTGGTGTTGCTTGTTTTTCACTGTGTTTAATTCATCGCTTCCTTCAGGCATGGAGGGATGATGTGTTTAAGAAATCAACACAATGCCACAATGGTGCGATTTTGGCTTGTGTCATGGAGGGAAAATGGCTATTCACTGGAGGTTGGGACAAAATTGTCAATGTACAGGTACATTATAAATTGACAGTCTCTGCATTGATTACCAGCAACTCGTGGAATAGAATTTGACAAGCTAACTTCTTTGATTTAGATTTTTTTAATGTAATGCATATTGGCATTTAGACCTTTCAGCATTTCATTCAACTTGAAAAGCTCTGTTTTTTATAGGAGTTGTCTGGAGATGAATTTCAGGTGGATACTAGACCCATTGGATCAATCCCAGGAGGTTCTGTGGTAACAGCTTTGTTATGCTGGCAAGGAAAGCTTTTTGTTGGTCATGGAGATAGGACTATCAAGGTGCGTCACCTCTCTTACATTTACTGCAGCCTTTCTAATATTGCTTTCCTTATCAGAAGGCTACATTCACATTTGCTTGCAACTGAAAAACCTATTGTTAAGGACTCTATTTGTTTGCATCCATTCTGTTGGTAAACAAATCTTTTCTGAATCAGTCATTAACTATAACTTCTAAAATGCTACTTGTTACCACCAACCTTTTAAAACTTGTTCCTTCAGTTCATTGAGTTATTATTTGTGTCAACATTTTGTTGCCTAGTGCTTGGATAGTTGCATGCTTGGATAATATTGGACCCCTAGCATATAGTGTAGTGCTTTTGTAACCATCAAAATTGTGCAACCTGTGCCATCTTAACCTACAAATGTTCTGACACATATTAAAGCATGCATTGAATTATCCATGACTTAAACTCTGAAACATTAAATCCTGTTTGCAATGCCAGGTATATTACCATGGAAAGTGACCAAAAGCTTACCAGGTAATTGCAGTTCTTTTCCTTGCACTTCTGACTCCATGTTCATTCAACCCTAGCCTCATGGCTTATTAAGTTGTCTTACTTTCGTAAATTTGAAGAACTACATGTTAGGACCGTGGGTATTCTGATAATTTCCTGTTGAAGATGGAACACAATGTTTAACATTGTTCTACAAATTATCTACATCCACATAAAAGTCAATTTTATTGTTAAGGGAGAGAATAAGCAGAAGGATTCATCCACTCGCAATCTCACTTTTTTTCCTCTCTTAGCAGTGTTGCAATGGAAGTCATTGCTGCTGTCCTTTGACAGCTTACTTTCTCTCTCCTTCTCTAGCTCTTTAAGCTCTCTTTTTGCTTCTACATGCTACCTTTTCTTCCTCTCTATGTATAGAGTATTGGACAGCAAATGGTAGTGAGCAACTCCTCACTCCTTTTTTTGTACCCATTATGTTAATGTGGAGATTTTTGTCTCCACTACTTAACAATCTCCCACTTGAAAACAAATGAGATTGGGATTGTTAGGTGATGGAGATAAAAGTCTCCACATGCCTACCACACTAGGATAATGGCCATGTCTATTAACATAGTGGGAAGTTGTGCTGGAATCATTATCAATTGTTAGCCATTCTTTGGCTTTAAATAGAGCTAATATGAATGAGCAAAATATGAGCTGTAGAAGAATAACAAAAGGATAGAGGGAGAGGGGTTGCTAAGGGCACCAATGAGTATGAGAAAAGTTCTCTTCTTGCTTCTACATGTTTTTCCTCTTTATTTATAAAGAGTATTGGACAACAAATAGGAGTGGGCACCAACTAACTCCTTTTTCGGTGCCTATTATGTTAGTATGATAGGTATGTGGGGATTTTTGTCTTCATTATCTAACAATCTCCTACTTGTGTAGCTATTGGTAAGGGCAGCAATGAGTGTGAGAAATGTTCTCTTCTTGCTTCTACATGCTGCCTTTTGTTCATCTTTATTTATAAAGTGTTGGATAACAAATGAAAGTGTTGGTGACCTTTATGTTAGTATGGTAATACATGAGGATTTTTGTCTTTATTCCCTAACAATCTCCCATTTGAAAACAAATGAAATTATTAAGTAGTGGAAACAAAAATCCTTACATACTTACCACACTAGGATAATAGCCATTAACTTAGTAATAAATCGAGTTGGTACCATTATCAATTGTTAGTTATTCTTTAGCTATAAATAGAGCAAATATGAACGAGAAAGATATAAGCGGAAAAAGAACATGAGGAGAGAAATAGAGAGGGGGGTGGTCTTGTGTAGCTGTTGCCAAGGGCAAGAATGAGTGTGAGAAAAGTTCTCTCTTGGATTCAACATGAGCCAATTCTTCATCTTTATTTATAAAGAGTATTGGACAATAAATGGTAGTGAACATTAGCTCACTCCATCTTTTTTGGTGCCCATTATGCTAGTGTGGTAGGTATGTGGGGACTTTCATCTCCACCACCTAACAATCTTATACTTGTGTGGTTGTTGCCTTGTTACCAAGCGCAACAATGAGTGTGAGAAAAGTTCTCTTCTTGCTTCTACATGTTGCCTTTTCTTCCTTTCTATTTATAGACAGTATAGGGCAACAAATAGTAGTGAGCATTAGCTCACTCCTCTTTTGATGCCAATTATGCTAGTATGTTTGGCATTTGATGACTTTTGTCTCCACTGCCTAAGAATCTCTTATTTGGAGACAAATAAGATTTTTAGGAAATGGAGACAAGTCACTCACATACCCACCACACTAGAATAACAAACATTAACATTGGGGGAGGGATTATATACTTTCACCCAAAACCTTGATCCATACACAGATTTACGTTTAAGTCTGATAAATTTATCCACTATAGAAGCAAAATTAAAAGTTGTCTGTAGTGACAACCTTTTAGATCTTAGAATCTTTAAAATGAGTTTTAAGCTAATATTAGGTTATTAGATCCTAAAACAAAAATTGAAGTACCTCCTATGCAATATACTAGTGAGGATAGAGATGAATTTGCCCGACAAATTCAAGAATTATTAGATGCCAACCTAATAGAGGCTAGTAAGTCCCCACATTTCAGCCCAACCTTCCTAGTTAATAAGCACTCGGAACAAAAAAGAGGAAAAAGATGCATGATCATCAATTACAAGAAATTGAATGACAATACTGAAGGTGATGGTTACTTATTACTTAGAAAAGACGAGCTCTTAGATCAAGTTCGTGGAAAAAAAGATATTCTCCTCTTTTGATTACAAAAGTGGATTTTGGCAAGTGCTGTTAGATGACAGCTCACAAAAGTTGACTGCTTTTACCTGCCTACAAGGACATTACTAGTGAAAAGTAATGCCTTTCGGCTTAAAGCAGGCCCCATCCATATTCCAACGGCATATGGATGAAACCTTTAAAGGATTTGAAAAATTATGTTGAGTTTATGTTGATGATATCATTATCTTTTCTGATAATGACATACCATGTCACTCATGTGACTCAAGTACTTGATAGGTGTAAAGAGATAGAAGTAATCTTATCAGAGCTCAAAGCTCAATTATTCAAAGAAAGTATATCTTTCTTAGGTTTAATAATTGACAAAGGTCAATTACAATTACAGAAACACATGGGCGAACATATCTTGGCCTTTGACAACCAGATAACTGATAGAAAATAGTTACAAAGATTTTTAGGTATATTGAATTATATCTCATTCTTTTGTCCCAAAGTTTGCTCAAATACGACAACCTCTGCAGGCCAAATTAAAAAAAGACATTGTTTGGCGGTGGACTGAATAGGACACAACATATGTGGACAAAATCAAAAAGACAATCAAGAATTTACTTCCGGTACATCACCCATCACAAGATGAACCTTTGGTAATTGAAACAGATGCCTCAGATAATTATTAGGGTGGAATTCTAAAAGCCAAACAATTGGATGACCCAGAATTAATTTGTGGTTACGCAAGTTGCACTTTCAAATCCGCTGAGAAAAATTATCACAACAATGAAAAGGAGATCCTAGCCCTTATAAATACCATTAAACGATTTTAGGTTTATCTCGTTCCAGTCCGGTTCATTGCAAGAATCGACAATAAAAATGTGTTTTTCTTTCTCAACACAAATATTCACGGTTTTTACAAACAAGGCCGATTAGTTAGATGACAACTTTGGTTGCAATATTTTTCTATAACATTTGAACATGTTTCAGGAATAAACATCTTTGCAGATACACTCTCTAGAGAATTTGCAGAACAATGTCAACCAAGGAGTTGATAGAAAAAATCAATCAAACTGATATGAAAATCACTAGAGCAAGAAAGGTGATAGAAGAAAAATCCTTGAAGATTGAACATTTTCAACATAAGAAAGGTAAGTTGATCATAAAGATCAACGATAAAGCTCAAGGAGCTAAAGGTTTTTTTGAAAGATTTCAAATAAAAATGGCAGAAGCCAAGGAAAAGAGTGGACTTCCTTCACAAGAACCTTCCACCTCTCAAGGAGAACATCTGGTTCCCGGAAAGAAGAGCCAAGTGCTCCCTTTTTAGTTGTATCTCAGGCAGTTAATCAAACGAAAGAAATTTCGATTAAACATTACACAATTTTCTATAGCCCTCATGTAGGTTGCTATAAGGAATGGCAGACGGTATAGCCGCTTGTGACAGGTAAACCTTATTGTTACAAAGGTTATCCCAACTATGGACTTGCACGACAAGCCCTCATGGATTATTGTATGAAGAACAATACCCCTCTTCACACATCTCCAAAATTAATCACTCCAGGTGATCTTTTAACACCAAAAACTCATAAAACCCCAAGTTATTATGATAAAGCCAAAATGTCAGCAAACCCTGTCATTGAAAATTCAAAGACCTTCTTAAGATTCAACAAAATCAACCAAAAAGGCCTAGATGAACATGAATTCATCTCATTGGAAACATTTGTCCAATATTATAGACTTGCAGAAGTCTCAAACACCACAGAAGGCTGTTTCATCAGTCAATCAAAAGGATTTAGGTTATTCAATGTAACCGAAGGAGCAGATCCTGAATTTGTTAAATTATTATTTCATTGTGGTCTCAGAAATAAACATGATTTATCCAGGTACAAATCTTAAAGAACTTAGCCAGCTTCCCCAAGGGATTTATACAGTTGTAAAATACTACATGCAGAAAGTTCTTAAGGAACAAGATCGTAGAGTTTATCTCTATTCAAAGCTCATTCCTTGATTGGCATGAAACAGAAGATGAGACAGATAATCTCAAGAATTATCCAGCATACCACTTCATTAAGCTCGGTATGTTAAGACGAAAATTGAACCCCTCTAGACTATCCTACAACCTTCAATCTTGTAGTCCTTTCTTAAAGTTTATCCAATAAAATAAATGTGTTTCTAACACATACATATTACACCTTGTGCAAAGTTTAAAGATTATTTCTTTTGAAAGAAAGAAGAAAAGCTTATCGACGGTAAGTACGGAAGTAGTCATAAGACTCCTGAATAACATTTGAATATCACCTAAGACCCGCGTAATAGAGAAGAAGGGCAGTGTTGATGTTGGAGTAGAGGAACCCTGAAAATACACAGGTAAGTTTTCTGTCTAAGCTTTCAGATAATATGGCTAACCCCATCTTAGAATTACTAAGGGTTTTAAATCAAATTAATTGGTCTTGCATAATAAGTTTAAGACAGGTTCATTCTGCCTTAGAAAGAAAAATTGAAATGTTAACACCAAAGATCCTAAGTGATCAAGAGGATGAGTACTTCACCCAACCCTAAAATCAAGCATTGAGGGTTACAGGTAAATATTATTTTATCATAAGTTAGATTTCCTTGGATACCACCAAAGATTGCATCTTGAGGATCTGTCATCCTTCTATCTAGTAAAGCAAGCTTTATTGGGGAATTTATTTCTACTTTAAAAGTGGATTTTAACATAATCTTTATGCTACCTATCTGAATGTAGCTAATAGTTTTTCTAATGTTTGTTGGGACTTTAGATAATTTCCGGGAAATTTCTTCCATAAGGACTAAAGGAATTTCTGTAGTTCCTCGAGTATTTTTAATATCTAAAGGATATTCTCTAGTTGAAATGCTAAAGGATATTCTCTAGTTGAAATGCAAAATGCAGGTAAGAATATGATTCTTCCTATTGAACAATTTATTTTTTATTTTAGAAATAGTACTAAGATTCTTAAAAACTTCATCAGGAGATAAAGTAAGAGAAGTTTTACTAACCTGATCAAGAAAAAGACCTTGATTAATTAAAATGTCTTGAGTAAAGACACCTTCTACTTCAAAAACTTCTTCTTAGAAGTCTTGAATTTCTTATTCTTCGTGAGTATTACTAATGAATCCTGTGATGTCAATATTTTTGCAAATATCAAATAACATATATAAATACAAGAAATATATTTATTCTAAAGGCAAGGCTCTGATACCAAGATCTCTCACCCCAATGTATGTGACTTAGGAAAACAAATAGTAGTGAGCATTAGCTCACTTCTCTTTTGATGCCTATTATGTTAGTATATTTGACATGTGAGGACTTTTGTCTTTACTACATAACAATCTCTTATTTGGAGACAAATGAGATTTTTAGAAAGTGGAGACAAGTCCTCACATGCTTGCCACACTAGGATAATGGCCATTAACTTAGAGAGAGATTGATCTCGAATCATTATCAAAATTTAGTCAACCTTTGGTAATAAATAGAGTTAATACGAATGAGCAAAATATGAGTAAAAGAAGAACTAAAGGAGAGAGAGAGGGAAAGGGGGCTTTTTAGTGCAGTTTTTGTCAAAGGCAATAATGGGTATGAGAAAAGTGAGAGTTAAGTTCATGTTTCTCTTTTATTGATGTGAATTTTTACTGCTTCTTTATCTTTAATGATATTGGTTGCTATGTGAATCTAAGGTGATTTGTTTAATCATGTTAAAAATTATGTTCCACCTCCAATCGATAATTATCAAAACATTTGCAATCCTAACAAGTGAAGAAGATGAACTAGTAGGTGTTTTGATTTTACCCATAAATGAAAGTGGTTCAAAATGTGTTTTGGATATTCTATCATAAAAAAAAGGTTGAAAGGAATGCACTAGTAAAAACAATGCAAAATACTAACATAAGACAGTTGCAAAGAGGGGATTGCCCTTTTGCAACCACGCATTCTTCACTAGCAATAATTTACCTAACCTTAATACTAATGAATTGACCCAGACTTCTAACTTGAACCAGAGTGCCATGTCAGCATTATGCCAACATTTAGTCTGTTGATACATTAGCAAGTTGCAAGTCGAGGTTAGGATCCAATGTGAATAATCCTACATACAACTAGATTTGTTACTAAAACTAGGCTATCTAATCATGCTAGATTTGTTTTCAACAAATTGTAGATGCTTTCAAACTTATTTCTAGCTAATTTGATCGTTTTGAATGTAATGATATAGTTTAGTTGTCAAGATTTATAATGAAAATGATCATGTGATATTATGAGATTGGTAGCTCGACTAGAAAAGGCATGCATAAATGGTAATGAAAAAGTTGCATGTGGTTGCCCAAAACATGTGTAGGATTGTTGTAAGGAATTCAACAACTTCAAGGAAGGAAAAATCAGTCTTATGGAAAGTGGAAGATTAGGGTCTAGAGTGATGACGATTATAAGACCAATCTTAATAAATCTATTGCACTGGTAGTGTTGCTAGATGTTGAGAAATCAATGGTAGATAATGAAGATATTCAGATCAATTGTAAAGGACAATCTTAACATAGCTAATAAGGGGAAATATATGGAAAGTCAATATGATGAATAGATAGAGGCCTCAAAAGTTCTATTTAAAAAGATTTAGTTTTAAATGAGACCCTTGTGATCTCTTTAATATTGCATAGAAACTTGCTTAATGGAAGTATTTGCATAATACTATTTTTGTATATAAGTAAGTTGATGGTAAGGGAATAGTTGGGTTTTACATTGTCACATGTGTGCGGTGTCGCGACAATCACTCACCACCCTCATCAGATGTGGTAAGTCTATCTTAGCAAATATAATAAGATAAGGAATTTTTATCTTTAATCAATGAAAAAAATGGAATAAGAGTTGTCACTTAGTATTTTGGTCATTAGAAACTCTAACTACTTTTAGAGATTGGATACGGAGACTAGTTGTGTAAAGAAAAGGTATTAACACCTCAAATATGTCTTACTTAAGATAAGCTGCATTGCTTTATTATCTAATGAAAATCGAAGGTCTTGTTATGGTTTTTAATTGTTGGTCCGTCTATGGTTCAAGAAAAGTTCTTCTCAGCAAAGAGGTTTTTATCTTATGGGATAAAACCTAACCGTTTTAATGTCTATAAAAGAATTATATTGAAAATATTAAAAATATATTTTATGTATAAATTTATAATCCCTGATATTAAGAAAACAAAATAATTTTTAAATTGTTTTTGAAATATTGGTCAAGTTCTCGTGACTTTAATAAACTGGTTATTAAAGTTAAAATGCATGCTAAAATATTTTTTTTTTGAAGTTTTCTTTGTTGTATAAAAATACAATATGATTTTTTTGCTTTGAAAAACTTGATTGTATGCATGAAAATAAAAATATTTTTTTTTAATGAAAATCGGGTAGTTTAATACTAGATTTTTATCTTTATAATATAAAAATATAAATTAATATTAATTAAAATGGCATAAAAAAACATGCAGGAAAATCTTGAATTTCCCAAAATGATTTGACATAAAAAAACATGTAGGAAAATCTTGAATTTCCCAAAATGATTTTTGAAAATTTTATTTTGACTGGGCCTAGCCAACCTAAAAAGAGATTGGCTGAAATTAGCCTACATGAAATCACGCCTGCTTTTTAGAAGGCTGGGCTGAGCCCAACCGCATGAGTTAAGCTGATGATCCAGCTCGTAACAACAATGGACTGGTTCCTATGCATGAGCACAACAACCAGTTAATTAATTAGACGGTTACTGTGCGTATGTAAAGTAACAGACTAATTATTCTTCTTGCTTGTAGAATATGTACAGTGCCTATTCTGTATGCAAGAAGATAAAAATGATTGTCGCGACACCGTATGTGCAACATAGATGTTCAAGGATCTTATGAAAACATGATTTCTTTAAAAATGTTATATTCGGTGACTATGATTGCTTAAAGGTAAAGCTAAGAAGGTCCTAATGGGAGGAAGAGAAACACAACAAAAGATAAAAGATTGACATCTTATTTTAACTCGGAGAGTTGTTGTGATAAGAGTAGTTATTATCAAACATAAACAAGGAATAAGGAAATCTAGTGAACAGAAATTGCATGAGGGCACATGGAGATTGTTCAGGAGTACCTGTAAGATCCAATGAGATATTGAAATGAGACTAGACAAGTGCAATGAAAGAATGTGTTCCTATATAAAGCTTATAGCATAAATTGTGTTAAGGTTGTATAATAAGAAGTCTTCTATGCTCTTCTTGAAGACAATAACTAAGATTTTTCTAATACATGCTAGAGTGAAAAGAGTAGTTATATAGTTATTGCATGTGCATTTATTTGAAGGGTTGTAATTGCTTGTGATGAAAGGCATAAAAACATTGGTTTGAGTTTTGAGCATTTTGAGTGAGGTGGTAGTGATCTCTTAGGGTGCAAGCACTATAACAAAAAGCGTAAAAGCTCTAAATATAGAAATCAAGAGGGAGGGTTGTGAGGAGTATATTGTAACTCTTTTTTTATATGTAATCAGTAGTATTGATCTCATTCATAGTGCATATGATAGAAAGTCTTGAAGCCATTTCAGGGCATCCCAAATGGAGGATGCAACAGCCCCACAATAACAAGTGAAGACACCTTGGTGAGGTGTGAGCCTAAAAAAGATCTCGTCAAAGTCAATGTTAAGGTTAGAGTATCATGTCAAAGTCTTGAAGCCATTTCAGGGCATCCCAAATGGAGGATGCAACAACCCCATAATAATAAGTGAAGACACCTTGGTGAGGTGTGAGCCTAAAAAAGATCTCGTCAAAGTCAATGTTAAGGTTAGAGTATCATGTCAAAGACAAGCATAAACAATTTTTTAGAAGTAATGTGAAGTTATCTGGTTGAGTGATAAATATTTTTTAGAAGTAATGTGAAGTTATCTGGTTGAGTGATTTTTTAGTGTGAGAAAAGGTGTGATTGATGGACTTTGATGATAGAAATATCTAGATGAGTGCATAGTCAATGATAAAATCTTGGCTATCTATAGAGAGTATTGGACAACAAATGGCAGCGAGGACCGACTTCTTTTTCAATGCTTATTATGTTAGTGTGGGAGGTACCTAGCAATGTCTAATTTGGAGACAAATGAGATTGTTGGGCAATGAAGATAAAAATCTTCGTATACCTGCGACCATACTAGGGTAGTGGCCATGAACTTAGTGAGAAATTGAGCTGGAACCACTATCAATTGTTAGCCATTCTTTGGCTACAAATTGAGCCAATATGAATGAGCAATATATGACCAGAAGAAGAACGAGAGGAGACAGAGAGAGAGGTACTACTGCCTAGGGCAGTAATGAGTGTGAGAAAAGTGAGAGTTGAGATGAGTTAAGTTAATATTCCTCCTCCTCCATTGATTTTAATTTGTACCTCTTCTCTATCTCTAATGATATTGGTTATTACGTGAATTTTGACAATTTGTTAAACCATGTAAAAAGTTGTGATTCGCCTTCAACGAATAATTATAAGAACACTCGCGGTCCTAGTACTAACTACTATATCCTTGTTTGGCTGATCATATATATTATTTGGATCTATGATTTTGTTTTTCAAAATATATGCCTTGGACACCGCTGCAGATACTATTGGGCTGCTAAAAACAGTCTTTGCTGGTTTCTTGCAGTCAGCAGCCTCTGAAGTCTGCAAATGATGATTTGTATACCGAACCGATCCTCGTACAATAGATTATGGAAAATGCACAGTGAAAATTTGGAATTCTCTTAACGGTACCATTTCTGCTGGAGAGGAAAATATTTTAAAAATGATGTTTCTGTATAGAATGATTGACACTGAGTGGTATTAGACATAGCTTTTAAATATTTTTTAAATTTTAAATTAATTTTTGTGTGTTTTTTTAATATATTTTTTATAAAATAATTTAAAAAATAATTTTTATTAATTCTCAAACGACAACAAACCACTTAATAACTCAGCAATTGAATATAATTTTCCTTTTTCATTTTCTATGTCCACATGAGGCTGTAGCAATAGGCACGCCACACATGGCCTCCCAGCCATCTCGAGACCTTCAAATTGGATAAGGGCTATGCTTTCCCCCACAAATACAACCCGTATGTCAATTGAACCCCCCAAAGAGAAGAAAAATCTCAATTGGGTTCCAAAATTATTTATTTATTGTATCTAGAGCTAAATTAATGGTTGCTGTTCGTCTTAGAAGCACTTGGAGCTGTTTCAAGGAAATAAAGGCCCAATGCTGATACTGACGAAGTCCAACTGAGTGAGACAGTGTGGTAAAGGGGGTTGTTCTTGGACATTGCTCAGCAAAAACTACGCCTTTGGCATGCTCTACGCCCGCCGGTTGGAGTTTTGGCCTGCAAGTTGCCAAGTTAGCTCTCTTATTATTATTATTTTTTTAAATTAAAAGGATGGACTATATGTTTTCAGGAAATTAATGTCAATTGATTTTATTTTATTTTTTTAATTCTGACTATCCTTTTCGTTAAACTAGAAACTGAGCAATAACAAAATGTTTCGTACCAAATTTGAATTTGAAAAAATGTAAGGGATCGAAAATGTGTCATATGAAAAATCAAAGGACTAAATTGATTTTTTGCATCAATTTTTAACTCACCACCTACATTTAGTGCTTTTTCCGACCCTGGTCCTCTTTTTAATTTTTCCTGGTTAATAAATATGAAGCAATTGTCTTCTAATTTTGCAATATAAGGACTCAATCAAGGGGGAAAAAAAAAACTTTGGGAATCAAAATGATTTTTTTTTTAAAAAAAGCACTGTTTCAATCAAAAGTGATCTAGGGGAGAGTGCACATTACACGCTTGCCCAGTAATTTTACCTCACCTCTTAGTTTCTTTATTAAAATATAATTATAATTTGTGGTTTCACCTCGATATTTCCTCTGATATACTACATTCAATTTGAAACACCCTTTAGTTGATTCTGTCTAGAAAACCACTTGGTGCACCGATTATTTTTATTTCGAGAAGCAACACAACTGGCCACCTGTCCTCATATATGCATTACACTTCTGATGAGTTGGCTTGGTTTTATCGTCAAGTTTATGATGCCTACCATCGAGCATTGTGATCTTACATGGTGAACTATGTGCAGTTTTTTCTGGTGGGTTCACTCTTTTGGGAGAGAAGTTATGGGGTGAATAAATCATCAGCTATGTCAATGCAAAAGATATTTTAAGTTATAGGCATTCTTGCATGGCATTATTTCAATTAAAGCAAGCCTGGTATGGTGAGGGTGTCAGAGGCTACGAATTCTGAGCAACAAGAAAGATCCCTTTCAGTTTTCCAAAGTTTGCTTTCATTCAGGGGCCATATGGATGCCATCTAAGCGTAATTATGAACTCATATTTTTTCAGTTTGCATTTGTTTACTCTAAAGCAATTGCCTGTATGGCATGTGGGGTTTAGCAGCTTCAGAGTGTGGTGGGAAATGGTAACGCAAAGCAGAATAGGCAATCGGGAGCAGTGTAGCATGTCAATTTGCTGGCTTATGCTTTTGCTGGTGGATTTGAAATGCTCTAAACATCACTGTTTCCTAGAGGAAGTGCGTTGAGCCCTCGAAAGCAATGGAGAAGGCCAAGCTGGGGGTCGAGAAATTGAAGGAAGGACTCTGTCTTCTTGAGAAACAAGAATGTTGCAACCGTGATAGAGTGAGTGAACTTGAGTAAATGGGTGCCCTTATCCTCACATTAAGAGTATTCTGGTTTGGGGAATTTCTGCAGGAATGCTGCTGGTAGATTGCTGGATGGCAGAATTCTATAGGAAAAGTGGAGGTCAGTGTGTCAGCACAAGACGTCCGCAACAGGAGAGGCTGATAAATTATTGGCAAAGTATGGGAACTGCTCTATCCACATTGAATCTGATGTGTGTAATGCAGCAGAGACCGCATAGCAGAGTGACATAGCAGGGAGAATCGGAAATTGAAACGTTTGATGAGGATTTAAGGAGTCTGATCACGTGCTTGCCAACCCATTCCATAACTATCAGTTCTTGTGCAAACGGTTTCAAGATGATTTCTGTCTCTTATATTTCATTTTACTCATTAACAGGTTTTGATTATCTCTGGGAAAAGAGATACACGAGTACAGATCAAGGATATTTCAATGGCTTATCTCATTGTTTTGAAATTCAGCCTGCGTAGAAAGTAGATCCGAGGATCATTTGACCTGAGTGTTGATTAATGATACAAAATGTACATATATTTCTTCTCTTTGAAATGAATATATATGATTGTAACAAAAATGCAAAATTGGATTAAAAAAACCCAAAATGAAAACAATTTTCTAATATTGCTTTTTGACCTGTGTGTTGATTAATGATACAAAATATACATATATTTCTTCTCTTTGAATTGAATATATATGATTGTAACAAAAATTTAAAATTGGATTAAAAAAAGCCAAAATGAAAACAATTTTCTAATATTGCTCTCAAGTAAGGACGGTTAATGAAAAATGTCAGGGGTGTCGGCAATTGAAAAGAATAATAAAAATTTATTTTATCCTATATTATAAAGGAACATGTCAGTAAATAGATTTGATTCAACTTTCCTCGGTTTGATGATCAGAACTGACTAGAAGATGAGCCTTTGGAAGTTGCATTGTCTTAAGTAGATTGTTATCAAAGGTCCATTTCTGGAAATATTACCGATATGAAACGAATTGAAAGTGCAAAACATACTTCTGCCAAAAGTCGATCATACTTGATGCTTTACATGAGATTAAATTGAAAACCATCAACTTTCTTAGCACTCAAAGCCTCAGCATCCTTTCGGTGTATCACTGACCTGTTAGCACAAACACAATTTGTCAGAACAATCAGCAAACGAGGAGCAGTCTAGGTTTAAAAAATAAACAAGACAGCTTCAGAACAATCAGCAAAGGAGTCTAGGTTTAAAAAATAAACAAGACAGCTGATTATAAAAAGTGCTTGACCTCTCTAGTGGTGGCAGGAAAAACAAATATAAGATGAGATTTCCACTCCTGGTTATAATTAGAAGCATCTAACTGCGTGTTAACACTTCAGTTGATGTACAGGAAGGTGTCTGTCATGGACGTGAAGAAAATATGGGATGGAGTAATGATTGCTCAATGCAATCACCACAGGTCATTCATGGTATGGTGATTGGTTATGAATTTGGATGTGAAAGTTATGCAATAAAATCGGATGCTTACAAGAAAGCAGTAGAAAACTTGCCCTTGTATTCCAAGCCAAGGACCATGAACTAGGCTACAGGCTCCAATTTCATTTTACCGATCATTGTCAGACTCGTAATTGTTACTCTAAAGGACCTGTTCTCCTCTTTTTTTTGTCTAGTCTGATCCATGAAAGCAGCAATCCATTAACATCTAAGGCAACTCTCAAGAACTTAAGACCTGCTACAAATATATTGTGTGCGTGGGCAAGGGATGATGTGGAATGTGTACAACAAGCAATGACCAAAGTACTAGCTTCGACATCTGGCAAGACCAATTGGGTTAGAAGGCATGCTCTTAAAGGTGTCATGCCCTTAAACACTCGAGAGGGAAGTTGGCTGCTTGTGGCATGATGGTTCAGGCACAATGCAATCCTAATTCCTCTGATATTGAATTCAGGTATGATGGAAACACTAAACTGTTCTAGTAATCTTTCACTTGAAATTTGCTATGCATTACTCAATTGTCATCTCTCTAATGTAACAGGCTTGAGCCACTGAGTTTCAAACACTACGGAAATGGATTCGACTCAAATCAACCATCTAAAGAATAAATAATAGGTGATCTGAAATTTTTATTTGGTCCACCCTACCGTGGTAAACTGTAGACCTATAGTGACAATGGAAGGCATGATTGACTTAGCTACCATGCTTCTTGACTGAAAACAATTTATGAAGGACAATGGACCTGATACACAGATGAAGGCTAACCCTTTTGCTATTTGTCTTCTGTGCCATCTGGAGTTTTCAGAGCAGCCAAAAGGAGACCCAGCTATACCACTGGAGTTAATTGTCCTACCTTCAAAAGCCCCACTATGCTGACCTAAAAACTGAAGCGAAGAGAACTTTCAAGAAGTGTATGCCATGTTTAAGAGGTTTGAAGCTGACGAATTTCTAGACTTTGGCTCTCTTGAGGGTTCCATTAATCTTAAGTTTCTGGCCGGACAAAGTGGATCAGTCAAAATTAAAGGGACATCTCCATCAAAACATGCACCTAACCATTTCTGAATGGAGAAGGAACTGGAGAACTGGATCGTGGATTGCATGTGTGGGGCTAAGGATGATGATGGGGAGAGTTAGCTTGTCATACCTGCGGTGTTTGGCAGTATACTAGGTGTGCTAGGATTGACAATTCTGATGAGATTCCTGAAAATATTTTTGCATGAGATGTGTCAACTAATACCACTAATAAAAATGAGAAGGGCACAAATTTTATGGAGAAAGAGGCATCTAAAAGAACTTCACTATCCAACAAATCTACATGCAGCTGCAGGGATGGGGTGGAACTGATGGTGTCAGTGAAGGACCTAGACTATGACATTTAGTGTACCCTAGGGTGTATATATTTCCTGTAAATCTGATGTCTTGAGCATCTTATTCTTCTCCTCTGTTGACAAAAGTAGTTCCTCAATCTTTTGTATTCTCTTATACAAAGATTATTAAAAGAAAATGAGAGAGAAAAGATTGTCATGTTCCAATAATTTTTTCTGCTTTTTACAGACTTGTTATTTGAAGTGATTAAGGCATTTATGCATCGTTTAAAAAAAAATCAAAAGAAAAAAGAAATATCAAACATGAAAAAGTTTATGTAAGCAACTGGGAATTAAGGATATTGAAAACACATTACTTTTAACTGGAAAAGATTTCACTTTATGTACCTCTGCCTTCTCCTCTCGGATCATTTGTGCTTGTCCCTCAAGTTGCAATAAAATGTCATCTCTCCCTTTAGGAACAGGAAGGGATGGTCCTGTTCTGGTTGCAGAGGGATGCCTAACAGCCCTGCAGAGGTTAGAGTACTTTGTAACCACATCTTTGTACAGACTCAGCAATCTTTCCACATCTTCAACAGTCAGTTCACCAGGCTCAGCTTCCATATATGGATAATTTGATCTGCCTGATACAATAAAAGATGAATTAGATAAAAATCAGATGGAAGGTTGCATTAGTCCCTTAACCCCAAATAAAAAAGACTTCATTGCATGAAAATATGAAACTAGTTAGTATATAATTACAAGTCAAAACCAATGCAATAACTGTTTGGCCATCAGAAAATAGCATAGACAAAAAAAATCTACACGTAAAAGCAACAATTTGGCAGTTTTCAATCTTACCATCTATATTTGTTTTCATGCCATGCATTCTTGTAGAAGGAAGAGGATCTGTCTGTGCCTGTGAAGCTTCTAATTGTGATACCTTGCAGTCCAATTTAGCTGCTTGCATGCTCTCTTCAAATTCAATTTCATCCATAGAAAGAGATTTGGCATCTAACTGGACAATAAAGGACTTGGCTGAGACAAGATTCGTGAAATAATAAGCTGGTTCGGATACCATTTTTTCTTGCCTTCTGTACAATTGGATGTATTTGAGGTTTGAATGCAACTGAGGAGGATTGGCCTGTTGAAAGAACGAATTAGTCCTATAATCTGCAAGATAATGCAAGTAGAATATAACCTAAAACAAATCTTCCTCCAGCATGCACAAACAAAGACAAAACTGATGACAAAAGGAAGAACTTAGCAGATTGGAAAGAACAGTTAACAAGAAACTGGCATATATTACCATTTGAGCATCCTTGCCACAGAAGTGTACAGTCAACCAAATCCAATAATTTGATAAATGAAATGCAAAGGAAAGAACGAGAGGAGAAATGAAGATATAGGGATTCACATGCAGAAAAGTGCACCAACAGATCAGAGAGACCCCTTAATATTCACTATATACTTGGTTTATCAGTGCACGATCACCTCAAAACTCTCAAGGCCTCACAGAAATAAGGACAATGCCTACAGTTAATGAGATAACACCAGATGCAAACCAATTATATATTTGAAGCTCTTTCAAAATCAACCAGCAAAAATGATTAATAGTGTTTCATGCTCAATGACACAGCACTTCAAAAATTGGATATAAAAACCAATCAACACTTATTGAAGCTAATTAATTCCGAAATCTTGGGCACCACAGTAGTGGGACACTAAAGGGATAATTTTCACAAATGACCACCAGCTCCTTAGATGACTAAATAAGTTTCTGTGCTTCATAGATATTTTCCCACCTGGATTTACCTAACTTCCAAATAAACCCCTATCTTAACTAAGCATATCAAAAGCTGGCAGAAAGAAAATGTAACAGGATTCTTAAGTACTAGTGTTGTAACAGGAGGCTAATTGAGAAACACTATTCAAAATGCTTCATTGCATTTCAGGAAGTAAATAGAAAAAATTTCGACTAGTCACTTTCTAATAATAGTTTATCCTAATAGAAAAGGGCCTATTTGACATAACCATCTATATAAATGCGAGGGCCTTTGAAGGACATTTGACATCTGAAAATACAGGGGCTGCTTCAAACTGCTTCAAACACCAGGTTGACACTTTGAAACAATTCCTTTACATCATTCTGTTTTATAACTACAAAACAATCTTGGAATAGACAAACACCACATTGCTTTTATGGCGTGTTGAAGAATTTGAACCCATGCAAACACAAGAGTACTAAAGATGATTATGAATCAGAAATTATTCATGGCTTTATCTGTTAAGCACTGATGTCAGTATATAAGCGACTCATTAAGATAAAGTATCTTTGATATAGATGCATTTAAATCAACGCCACATTATGGCTAGTGTAGAAGAATTTGAACACATGCCAATGCTAGTGTACGAAAGACGATTACAAATCAGAAATTATTCGTGGTTTTATGTGTTAAACTCATAAATGCCAGTATGTAAGTAAATCATTTTTATTATCATTAGCCATTAGGATACATGTGTTTACATCATAAAAATATAAACTACAAAATATAACTAAATTCTGAAAAATCACAATATCATAATATTTTTATCCACCAATGGTTTGACGCTTGTACATTCTTTTCAAAATTTTGAAACCAATTAAAAAACATTTGGAAGAAATATCCACATGACAACAGGTGGTAGTTCAAATGAAAATTGTTATTTTTGTTTTTCTTAACAAAGTGGCAATATGCACACAAAGATTCTGAAATTTAAAATAGCCAAATCTCATGCCTTCAGATTTTATTCAGAGGCTTACAGCTCCATACATAAAATTTAACAAGCAATTTCCTTAACTTCATTTTTCTTTGTTTTTTTCCAGTATATAACAGCTATTTCTCTGTGTTCCTTGTATAGAAATAGCTGGTGTACGAAAGGTGATTATGAATCAGAAATTATTCATGGTTTTATGTGTTAAACTCATAGATGTCAGTATATAAGCAAATCATTTTTATTATCATTAGACATTAGTATACATGTGTTTACATCACAAAAAATATAAACTACAAAATATAACCAGATTGTGCAAAATCACAGTTTCAAAATATATTTTTATCCACCAACAGCTTGAGGCTTGTACATTCTTTTCAAAATTTTGAACCCCATTAAAAAACTTGAGGAAGATATCCATATGACAACAGGTGGTAGTTCAAATGAAAACTGTTATTTTTTATTTTTCTTAAGAAAGTGGCAACATGCACACAAAGATTCTCAAATTTAAAATAGCCAAATCTCATGTCTTCAGATTTTATTCAAAGGCTTACAGCTCGACGCATAAAATTTAACAAGCAATTTCCTTCCTTTTTTTTCCCCCAGTAATAATATGATGACCTATCTTGATGATGATAAAAATTTATTTGTGTTCCTTGCATAGATATACCATGGCCTATCTTAATACATGATGATGAATTTTAAAACAATAAAGGTAATACAAAAGGCTTTTATATTTTTTGAAAAAATGTTAATCAAGACCACATTAACAGACCAGATTAAGCAGAATTCAACACAAAGTGCATAGTTAAGTATGCTACTTATCATGTGCATCATCGTAGGCTAGAAAAGATATCAAACCATACATCTTTATGCGAAATCATAAGTTATTACCAACAATGTCCATGTTCTCTGGTATAGAAGCATTTGCAAATGTCACAAGATAGACAGTTAAGACATGGAAAAAAATAGAATGTCAATCAAACAATAAACATGGTATGATTTTAATCATCCAATTTTCTATCAATGCATCAAACTACAGAAACAATAGTCCAAAATAGGCAAACAATGGTAGGAAGAGTTGCTTATTACCAAGGAGATCTTGCCTTGATTGTGACATATATAAGAACAGGAAGAAAGTCATCAGCCCCTCCTACTACATGATTTTCGGACATCGATGCATTAAGCAGCAAATTGTTGATGATCCTGCAGCAACTCATAATACAGTGAAGCTTCTCACGAGGAGCTCTGAAAGCATTGATCTTCTGCAATTCCTTCTCTGCAAGCTGGGGAAAGAAGGAATAAAATTGTAATGATTTTAAGAGGAGTATGTATCACCATTGATGGAACAAGTGGAAAAAGGATAGGGATCAACATTAGAATTACAAAACAATACATTTACATTTACATTAACAAATCAATTGTGGACTTTGCACTCATGCTAATTAACAATTTTTAAACTTCCAAGATGGAGAGAAACTCTCAAAAACAATACATTCAACCTGGACTCGTTAGGAAAAACATCTAGTACAGCAGCAATTACCCAACAAAAACTATTTGACTTGTCACAGAAGTTGATATATCCAGTTCTCTATTTCAATATCACTTTCATAAGATCACTTCCATACCTAGTGGTACTGCTCCTTCATGATGTATTCTCTCTCTTTTTCTCAATAATTTCTATTAGATAAAAACAAAGATTTAGAGTTGTTATGCTCAACCATCAAATTGCCTAATCAATCATTCCATTTTAACTTGAAGGCATACAGTGAGATCCAATGAAATGCCAACAAACTCTTTAATCTCTCCCACTAACCAAGGCAACGTATAGTTATTCATTCCTCAGCATAATTTGTTTGCTCTTTACCAAATGCAACAATATTATATAAAAGAAACAATATCATTAAATGTAGCAATGTTATCCAAAGGAGATTTTCTGTGAGACTGAAGATATAATATTTTGCACAAAGAAGACACCCTGGCGATGAAATGAGACATGGAAGTGTAGAAATATCATCCAATACTAGTAAATTATCCTTAACGGTGCTTTAGGAAAAGTGGCAAGTTGAATGTAAACTTCGGAGAAAATGAATTGAATTTATGTTTTTATATGGAAGCTAGTAAAATGCAAAGTTCAGATCAAGAGTAGTAACATGCAGGCTGAGGAAGAAGAATATAAAATGATCAATAAAATGATAATTGTAGCATGGCCACAAATGTATCATCAGTCAACATGCTTCTTAGTTGATGACATCAAACTGTACTATAGGCATCAGATTAAAGACAGTTAATGGAACTAAATCAAGCAGTTTTGCATTGAATAACATTTCCTAATTGTGAAAATAGGCTAGCACACATACCAGCCATGAAGCTTCATTCTGAAGAAATGGAGGAATATCCAAATGCTCAGGCCGTAAAAAGGATTGCAACATGTGTATCTTCTCAGAGATCTCTTGGTCAATCTGCACATCCTCGGGAGAAATAGCAAATGTTCGGGAGAACAATTTCGTCATGATGTATTTCTCCAGTCCCTGTGTTATAAGAATGCGATGACAAAGAAGCGAAAAAAGTTGCGCGCCATTTGAAATCAAAATAAAACAATATGTTAACATATCATGCTGAGAGCAACACAAAGCTATAAAGATTGACAGAAGACACAAACGCTAAAATTCAAATAATTATCGACAGCATTCCAATACTTTGGAAACTGATACATCCTAATGACAGGAGTCAGTTACTCTAAGCAATATATGATATAACAGAAATAATTCAATAACTACCTCCATTGAGCAATCAAATTCATCATCAGTGGCACCTGCCCATAATGGATGTTCCATGATAGCTGCTTCCATTGTTGAGAAAAACTCTTGTACCCTTTTGCTATCATTTTCAGGGTTGGCAGAAGAAAATTGGAATGATACAATGAAGCTGAAACATATTTAATTTTCTTCATTAAAACTCTTGTACCCAATTCGGTTAAAATACAAAAACTAACCAACAATAACTAATCAAAAATTAATTTCGATTCTATTCAAAATAATTTCTGCAAATATTATTTTACAACGATAAAATTCACATATCAATAAACACTAGCAATTTAATTCAAATAAATATGAAAATTAAGTAAAAAAACCTTTTAATGGATTTGACTAGATTGAGAGAAGCAGGATTCCGCATTTTATCAAGAAAATCATAAAACATAACGGACGATGACGATGACGATGATTGACTCGCTACAGTGTCCATTGGATCAACTTTCAAACACTACCGCTCCTTTCAGAAAAAAAAAAAGCGATGATCATAGTTCATGGGCGATCTTTCCTCTTCTTCTTCTCTCAAAAATAGGAAGACTTTTCTTTTTTATATTTTTTTCCCCTCGAAAACGACTTTCTTCTTGCAGAAGCGAGAAGTTTGAAAGAAACAAAAGTAAAAAGGTAGTAAAAGGGAGCATGGGTTTATATGGAAACCCATAGCAATTATCTAACTACTAATCCGAGAGAGAGAACTGTTGAGAGCAGCAGTACGGCAAGCCAAGGTCGGAAACAAAAGGAGAGAAGACCGTTAGGTTCATCACGTGATTTGATTTGTTTTTATTGTTAAGGAAGCCATTGAAAGCAATCGGAGGTCGACCCGGTTTAATTTCAGGGTTAATACTGTCCACCCGAGTTTTATTTTATTTAAAAAAAAACATTGAAAATAATAGGTTATTCCAACTTTTAAAAAAAAAATTTTAATTCACATTAATAATTTGTTAAAAGGTTTTTTACTATTTTAATGTTCTGATTTTAAAAATAAAAATATTAAATATTATTATTTTAATATATTTTAAAAATTAAAATCAGCAAGTTAACTTATTTAACTTATTGGATCATGTAAAATCTCATGACTATGGTTGAAAGTGGGCTGGACTTTCGAAAAAGGGGTCATTTTAAGCCCTGCTTTCTTTTACGGCCGAGCGGTTTTTTTTTTTTTTTTAATTATTATTATTATTGAGAAGTACACAGTTTCTTATTTTACAATGCTCAATTTCAGGGAGCGAAATGCATAAAATGTTGTATTCGAACCCTAGTGAGTATTATTCCCATTGGCATGAAATCTTTGTCTAACTTGTTACACCGTGACTTAGGCATAAAATTAAAATAATTTTATAGAAATAAAATTTTTAAAAATTATTAAATTCTATTTTTAAAAGAACTGAACTATGCAATATAAAAAAATAAAAAATTTAATTATCAAAAAAATTTAATATTAAAAAATTAATTAAAAAATATAAAATCCATTGTAAGTGTGACTAGTGATTTAGACCTACCATCACTTATCATAAAAAATACCCATTTAAATTCTAAAAAATATAGTTTAATTGGTTATATTTTGAATTTGTTTATTAGAGATCACCAGTTCGAATCTCATAAATCTTAAAGTAATTAGAGTCTTACATAATTATTAATTTTAAGACTTGTATGACTAATCGAGATACCCACAAACTGACTCGAATACTCATGTTAATCACCACAAAATAAATACCAATTTTTCATGATCATCATGTATTTGCATGAAATGGAAGACTTTTTGTGGTTACAAAATAAAATGTGCCTTTGAAATTACAAATTAGTCGAAATTTCTTGAATAACAGTGACATAAATCAAGCTGGGGTAGCAGTTATCCAAACAATTGATATGAACTGGCTTGCTCGAATCTTGATATTCAAGTAAGCATGTTAAAGCTCCTTCTGATTGAACAAGTCTAGCAATGCAAGCGCCTGCAGCAGAACCAACATATAAAGTCTTAGCACACCCAGAAAATTCCCTTTTGCTGACTCTTACCCTTCTCATTTAAGATGTGTTAATTTTAAAAATAATTTTTTAAAAAATAAAAAAAATATTATTTTAATATATTTATAAATAAAAAGTATTTTAAATCATAATCGTTACTGTAATTTCAAAGGTCTAAACAGATATACCTCTGGCACAGAGAGTTGTAATCGGAACTTGGGGCCATCGTAGTGGTATAGAATTGGTCTGAAAGCATCCTCTTCCAATGGCTTGCATTTCTTCTTGAATCCAATTCTAACCTGAAATGAATAAACCCTTTTAGCGTAGATTGTTCAGAGCACTCATTGCAACTCCTACAATTTTACCTGAGCTGGAAATCTTGATTCTCCTTTACACTTCTTGTCTTCCCAAGCAGTTGGTTCTATGTTTGACCCGCCGAAACTCACAGCCTTTATAATTTAAGAGATACATGTGCCACCGAAAGGGAAAAAAAGACATTGCAGCTGTAAGATCTTTTGCAAGACTACATGGGTGAAGGATTTGTCGTTGTGTCTAGGCTTACCTGGAACACTCCATGCAGCTGATGGCATGTGTAGTTATAAAGGAAAAGGGGTAAGCCTGGTGTTATGGCCCTGACAGAGTCCCTGTACTTGTGCGGAAGCCCTGCAGAATGGATTGGAAGTACATCGTTATATCCATTTCCTAAGACCATCCGGCTCGCCATAGCTTCAAAAACATGTTTGCAGTAGTTGCATACTATGAAGTAAAGATCGAAGGAGGAGTTCTGTTAAACAGAAAGATTGTGAGAGATTACCGAAGAGCTGGCGCCGGAGGTCCTCTTGCATAGTCTCGTTGTTGCACACGAAGATGTAACCTCCCATGACTTCATTTCTTGGCAGCAGTTCAGCTGGGGGAAGTGTCTTGTAGTTGCACCACTTGGAAATACCAAGCTGTTCCTGCTGTCTATCAAAAGGGTATTGTTTCATTTTAGTTGCCGGATTCCTCACAGATATGCCACTGAATAGAGATTTCCTGTAGCAACCATCTTCATTTGCGCATTGATATTCCTCCATCTTTCTCAATTGACTATCAAAAGCAAGCCTTGATGCAACTGTTCTCCATCCATGTAGCTCATTCTCAGAAGCAATGCCATGCTGGGGTTGCCACAATGAGCTTCCAGTACTGACATTATTCTTGATTATTGACATTTTGAGTTTGAAAACGATTTTGTACGAACATTGAACACCTATTTAAGGACTCTCGTCGGCAATATATACTTGCTTAGTTTTGTTTTAATACGTGATCTGCTTTCGGTTTTGTGGGATCCCTTTTCTTTTCACTTTTGTCTCTCTCCTTAACATTTGAATCAAATAGTCCGCCATTGCCTTCTATCGTAAAGTTGTTTAAATCACTATGAAGAATAATGAGATTTTGAAATCCTTATTCTAGTCCTGGCCCACAGAATTGAGTACACAATTAAGCTCCTGTAATTATTTGAGTTACAACTTCTATTGATGTAGATATATATTAGTTAAAACCATACAACGCTTTCGGTCGAAACAATTTTTTTTTACATTGCAAAAGTAGAATACGTAGGCGTCACTGGTGTATTTTCAAGTGGCAAGATAATTGTGCATGCGTGGCTATCTAATTGTTAATTTCAAGATTATTAGAAAAATTAAGTGAATCAGTTTTATATGAAATTTTAGGGTAAAAAATCTGGTTTGTGACTATGAAATATATTAGTATCTTTATCACATCCTGTATAAGTTAAATTGCACTAATGGGTTTAGATGTGGGTTAAAAATTATTAATGTATTTCTAATGAATAATCAATTTATGATTTAGAATAAAGATTTATTTATATAAATAAATTTGACATTTCAAATTCATTATAAACAAGCGTGCTCAAATAAATTTTTATGAAAAAATTTATATAGATATCTTGATTGGGTTTACTTATCCTCAAAGCCAAAAGAATTTTTCACAAGTTACATGTTGTGGTGAAAAATGCATTCAATTAAAACCGGTGAATACTCAAAATAATTTTGAAATTTTCAAGTCAATTTCTAGTATTTAAATGTCAGTCTATTTATAGATTAAATATATATACCACAATATTGACTATTAATTCTTATAAATTAAAATTTTTAGAGGTATTAAAATATTGATCAAGTTCTCATGGATTCAATCTAATAGTTATTAAATCCAAAAATACATGAAAATATATTTTTTAAATTTTTTTGTATATATAAAAAATGTTAAATCATACTATATGTTTATATATTTTTTTTAAGCAAAATATGATATATTTTTTTTGAGAGGCTAGGCTAAATGCACACCAAATAAAATATATTTTTGAAATGAGAAATCTTTGTCATAAAGTTTTTATTTTTTTTATTTTGACAAAAAACATGTATTTTAATACTAGGTCAACATCTTATAGTGTAAGTCTACAATCTCAATATTAAATTTAATTATTGGAAAAATATGTGAGGAACCCACAAATAATTTTAAATTAGTCCTTGAATATTTTAAAAAATTGTCAGGAATTTATTTGGTGCTTGTATGACAAAAAACCATTTTTATTCAAAATAAAACTGTCAAAACAACTTCAAGATATACTTGTCAAATAAGCCCTTAGGCCATCAATTCCTCAACAAAAAAGAGTGACCAACCAAACAAAGTCTTAGTACCCGGCCCAAATAAAACCAATCAGGTTTACTTGAAAATACTGATTCAACCTTGAACCAAACTGAAAACCATGGTTTAATTAGAAACTAAATCAAAACCAACAATTAAACCAAAAACAAAGCAAAACTAAAATACATAAAAACATAATTTTTTTTGACAAATATAGATTAAATACCAAGAACATGAAGAATACGATAAACATTCAAACCAAAACCCAACAAACACAAATCACAAATTATACAAGTTTTCATGTAATCAAGAATAATGTTTTGTTCGTAATCATGCATAGATCAAAAACCAAGCATCCATTTTCTTCAATTAACACTTAAAAACCATGATTTGATCAAAATATGTTTTAGTAATTGAAAGAACCTTAGAATCTAATTGTATGAATATGTGTTATTGATGTGTTTTAACCCTAGATTATTTGCTAAATATGACAAGGTAACATATTTATGCCAATAATTAACCCAAAACAGCTCCAAAACAAGAGGTTAAAACAAAGTTTATGCGAAAAACATAAATCTAGAATTTGAAGAATTTTCAAAAATTAAAGAACTACTGTCAAAACTCAGATTTAGCCTTCCAGCCCTTTAAACTCACTGTTTTTAGTCCTAATAAACTATATTACCTATGCCACGCATAATTAAATTCAAAAAACTAATAAATAACATCAAATTATCAATGACTTGCATAAAAATTTTAATTTCTAAAATTGTCAAATCTTATCCAACCTATATATCTATGCAATTTGGATTCAAAATTAGTTTACTGAACATATTGTCATGAATAAACCTTGTAAACCTTATCAATAATATTATTTCACAATGTATTAATCAAACAAAACAAATAAAAAAACTTTTTTCTAATCAAAACTAACCTAACTAAAAAGCTTTTATCACATTAAAAACATCAAACATACCCTAAAAACAAATTTTAAACTATATAATTAAAAAAAAAACACAGCTCTTACTCTTTAAACATCATCCTATTTAAAAAACATAAAATACAAAACACAGCTCTTACTCTTTAAGCATCATCCTATTTAAAAAACATAAAATACAGGCCAAATGACAACCAAAATATCCTT